CCTTATCTCAACAATCTATCAAAAGTTTCTATTGATCACCACGACAAAACTGTCTTGGGACATAAGTGCGAATGAAAACAAAATAAAGAAGTGTGGAATGGAGGCTTATAAAACTGAAGAGCTTTCCAATAACTTTGCTAGCTGCCTAGAAAAATGCTAAGATATCTGACTTTTTGTGAATCACCTCCACTTTAATGGAAAGGTGATTCTACAGAAACTTCTTAGTACGTACAAGTCATTTTCGCCAGTAAGTACTTGACATCTTGCTACATATCAAATATAGAATCGCAATTATGTGATATCAACAAAAACAAGTTTATAATTGGGAAAATGCAGCGGTTGAGAGGATAGAATCTTCTTATACGAAATTAATAACATACTGGTTAGACTTGACAGACTATTCTGGACCAATTTTGAGAAAATTTACAAATTTTAAATGAAATCATTAACACCAGCATCCAGTTCACAGAGCAGATTTGAACAATTTGAAGATTGCATCTCTATAAGAATGGTATATTTATCAAAATTCGCCATTAATGTGATGTTCATTCATTGGATAATTTCTTATGGAACAGAGAAATTCTCCAGTTCAAAGTAAAAGCCACAATATCATCAACTTTGAAATCATAATGCTTGAATAAGTTTTTGTTGAAAGCCACTAACGCAGGAACCGCATAACTATAGTCACTGAAGCGCTAAATTATCCCCAATTGTTCCAAAGTTTTTGATTCCGTTGTATTGTGGCAAAATGTCAATTACGAAACTTTGCATGTTGTCCATTCGGAAACTTCTCTATTTTTAAAGCAGTTTGAGCTCGTAGCTGCTTATATTCTTAAAAACGCTGGCAAAAAATTTATTTAGAGGGATGAGAAACATGCGAGCTATGCTCAAATGTGGTGCGCAAGGTAAACATTTTGAATAAGTAACTATGTATATCATATAGATTGGATTCAACTCTTTACCATTTAACTCGGTACACGACTGTTATGTGCCATCCTATCGCCCCATCCACTTTTTCTACTCACGACAGAGAGGTACAAAAAGGCCTACACCCCTCCAACTCTTATATTACCCGTTCTTGTCAGCGTCCATTAATTGGCTCATATTGGTCAAAGCAAAAAAATTTGTAAACTTCAAGGAGAATAGCAATGATAATGTGGCAAGTAATTCTCTTCTGGAAAGCAACCTTGCTCAGAAAACTCACTAAACAGATATTTTTTGCTCGTTGCGATGAACAGCTATTCACCTTTCCCTGTCTTAAAATAGGCAGAGTGAACGTGTAGTCTGTTTCAGATTTTCTTACCTTTCTACCTAAAGAATTTTGCTCACAATCTAATCCCCCCTTCCCTCACCTCTTCTCAACAGCCATCAATAGTGGCAACTATAACGTGTGAGCAAATGATTTTACCAATGCTACCGTCCCACACATTTGCACTCGTTAGAATTTAATTTAACTTTTGACGTTCGATTTTTGTAGGCAAAAAAAGTATTAGAGGCAAATGTAATCTAGCACTTTTCCCATTTAAAAATGCTATTTCATGTCATTAGAGCTGTTTGTTGCCTCCGTTTGATGGATAAACGAAGATTTAGAGCAATAAGATTGGTAAACGAAAGGTCGAGGAACGTCTTGGTCAAAAGTCCTACCTACTTCCATCATGAAAGTTTACACAATGTAGATAATAGCGGTCACATGGAACAATCAATAACAACTAATAATATTTGCGGAAGTTATGAGGTTAGTTGAAATAGGGTTGTAAAAAGCAAGTTTTACTGACAGTACGCTTAATCTTAAAACCATTTTCTTCAACAGTCGAGAGACAACTGCTAAATTTTTCACCAACTTTTACGTAAAACAACAGTAGAGATTTAATTTTGACAGAACCAATATGACCAAATTGCCGGTGTTGCTACAGCATCGCTTTGGTTCAATGTTGAACTTCTGTGGACTTTCAGGCCGTCTACGATATTTCTGATAAAGAAGAAACGTCTATAACTTTCTCTAGAGAAACGTTTGGCAGAATTCGAAGTACAGGGTCGGATTCAATGATTTGTGCTGCATCTACCATTATACATATATTTCTTCACATTTTGAAAGTTTCTTCCCTTTAGCAATACACCTTGAGAAAAGGAGATTTCTGGATGAACATGATTTCTTGAATAACAGGACTTTTGCATGAACACATAACCTGCGTTACCGCTTTTGCTTTTCTAAAACTATCCTCGAATGAGAGAATTTTCAAAATCCTTACTACCTCCCATCTCACTGATCTTCACGCCGAAGATAACGGTTGTTCGAAGAAAGATGATCGAACGGTGCGCAGAAGCACAAACCTATTACACTTGAACGGCTTGTCCGTCTGATGGCATCTGGAGTGCGACTGTAGATTGCTGAGTTGTGAAAAAGCTTTTTCACAACCGGTATATTTGCATTTATACGGTTTCTCGCCAGTATGTGTACGTATATGCTGTTGTAGATGTGAAAGCTGTGTGAACTGAAAATAAAATAGGTATAGTACATGAACAAAGAACACAAGCGCATTTTTAGCCACAATGCACTTTTTCAAGCAAACACTACGGTCACGAACTTTTTTTTCGCTTTTTCACCACTACAGGCTAGGCCGACTGGTGGTGGAAGGATAAAAAATGCTGGGTAAAAACGCGCTCTGTTTGCCTTGTTATAAAAAAGCTGTTCTTCGTTTGCACTGGAATCTATCTAATCTTGCAAAAATCGCCACATTGTAGCCGGTATTACCAAAAGCAGTGCTGCAAGAGTTAAGGACTAGGAGATTAAAAGTTTACACGTTTCTTAATGCATGCTTCAAGAAAATTACTTATTTACAAAGATGAAGGTATTCTGCATTTAACCATTCCCAGTGGTAAGTCACTGCATGTTACTACACGATAATTGCTTCCAGATAGCAACGATTTTCATATTTTTGTTTGTTTTGGTTTATAAAAAATTACCCTCCAGATGTAACAAATATATTCTATATGCACAAAAGCTTTGGCACGGGCCGTCGAATAAGGCATGGTAAAAGAAAATGCTGAGATTGATTGTTTTCTTAAAATCATTTTGTGCAATTAAGATGGAAGTATTAAGCTGTGAGTTGACCAAAACATCTATAATATGTAGATACTTTGGTCAACATGTAACCATTATACTATAAGTTGATATTGTAATTTTTTGCAAAGGTAGGCCAGATGCTGTTATGTGGAGAGTTTCTTATAAGCCAGCTCAGCTTAAAATTTGGACCATGGGAGCAAAATCTACAAATTTAGGTTACTGAAAGGTACCACGATCCCCGTGTTAGCGGCGATTTTTGGTCGAAGAAAAAACCTAAGAAGTGTAGTGCAAGAGATCCGAAAAAAAAGGCTTTCATAGTGCGCTTTTTCATTCGTTCCACGTTGATGTTGCAAAACGTTAACATGCTTTTTCACATCGCTCTCCTTGGTCGACCCCTCGTATTTTATCGATGAGTGCGCATCGCCGCACGCCTGTTCGACGACCCGAATTCTTTCGCTTTTCGCCAGCACTACGCGTTTTTACACAGTATACCGTATGCAAAAACGCAATAAAAACCAAACGAAAAAGACCTTGGGAAGCGGCGAAAAAACGTTGACGAAATGTGAAAAAAATGCACGTTTAAGGCTAAATATGCCAGAGGTGGCATGGCTGGAGGTCGCGCCTGTTTCGATAGTTCACAAAACACTCTTCACGATACAAAGTAAATAGATCGCGAGCTTGAAACTATATTTCATCAACTGTTTGTTTCGCATCAATCAACACATAAGAGTAGATAGAGCTTATTGATCTCGTGGATATTTAAAAATACTATATTTATTCATTTATTTCTGTCATCACTTACCCAAGAACTGATTGCAGCGAATTATTGATACAATAAAATTGCAATAAAGAAAAGTGCAAAATTATTTTTTCCAGCAAAAGATCTGAACCATTGAAAGTAGATTTTTAGTATGCACTGAACATGTATCTAAACCCCATTAAAGGTTGCGCGTCGCTGGGCTGTTCTATGAAATGAGTTCAGAAAAAGCGTGGAAAGATTGGTCACTTCAAGCG